AATGGAGAGGCTTCGCTCGGTCACTGGAATAAAACTGTAGAATCTGAGACTGCAGATGATAGCATTTTGCCTTTGCTGAGTCGTCTTCAAGTGTTACCAAATGGGTGAGGTTTGATTATTTGTTTCTGGCAGTAGTTCACGTAATCAAGGAGATTCCTATCAGTCAGGTCTTGGTCTTCCCATATTTTTTAGGTGATGTCAAGAATACTTTCTGAGCATTCTCCCATATTATATTTCAAAGAGGGGGAAATCTATAGAGGCCTACTGTACCTAACAAATGCTAAACAGAAGCAGGTTCTTAGTCTTTTGTTTAATTTTGTACCGTTTACTATAACATCTGTTTAAGCATGTGGTTGAATCCTTCTATGAGACCATCAGTTTGGGCATGATAGACTGAGGATTTGAGGAAGACAATCCATGGGACATCTGATACCTCCTTCATTAGAAGAGACATACTAGACTTACATACCAGGGAATTCCCCTGGTGAAAACACAGGTCCATTGGCCAGCATTATAGTGTTCCAGACTGCTCACTGAATAGTGACTGCTTCCAGAATGCTGATAGTGGCAGGCATCTTCCAAAATCCCGAGAATGTATTGATGTGGTTTTCAGAAGTGGGCTTGCAGTGTACATCTCAATCTGCCAAAAAGATACTTCAATAATCAGAGCGGCTTTAGGTGAGCTCATAGTTTGTGTTTTGAGAAGGTTAGTTAACAAGTCAGTAACGTTTAACCTCTTCATATGCCTTGGGCCTATAGAATTGCTGTAACACCTTTTCCTGTGTCCTTTTGACGCATAGGTTATGCCCAAGTAAATGAGAATGCACTAGAAGCATTGTGTAGCATGCAGAATATTTCTCAGACTGGAGCTATATTAATGAAATTAATGAAATTTAAAATCATTGAAATCATCTAAATTAATAAAATCATCTGGTTGTAATGGTTGAGAAATAGCTCCAACCAAAAAAGCATGATATTTCTTGGTTCATACACATAATTTGACTCTTTGCCAAAAATAAATTGGTTATAATTAGAAGCTTTGTAATTGTCTAAATCATAATTTTTATTATGGGGAACAATGCTTGCCCAATACTGGGGATCCCAAGATAGCCATTCAGCTTTTTTCCAAAAAGTTTTTTATAGTCTCCACATTATCTTTGGAAATCATTTTCACAATTGTTCCGCAGAATCCCAGCAAAGGCCTTGCATGGTTCAAGTTTGTTTTTTGAGGTGTCCAATATTTTGAATTCACATTGACACCAAAATATCCTAACCTGGCGCACTTTGTATGCGCGTTCTCACTCAAGTCTGCAAAGGCTTAGGGTGTCTCATGTCTAAATTTGTGTTTCACAGGGGTGCTTATCACAGACTTTGCTGAAGGGAATTACCCCCACTTCTTTGCAGAATGTTAAAGTTTCATGTTCTAGCCTATTAAAGGGGAGAGAATTGCTATGGAGGGTAAAATAAAGTTTTAAAACTTATTTTATGTAAAAACAAAATTTAATTAAACTATTTTAGATTCATACTTTATGTATTCTAGGTATGAAGTTTTTGACATTAAGCTCTTATTTTGTCACTCCATTTCTACTAATGAATATTCGTTTACCTGCAATGTATTTTGTATATGGAATATTTAATAGTACAAAACTTTGAGGTATTCTCAAGTTTACCCCATTTCATTTGCTTTAAATAAAGTAAATGAACATGTTATGTTCCTCTTACTGTCATTTGTGTACTGAGATGAAATGTATTTAGTAGTACAAAGCTTTGAATAAAGAGAGAGCGATATTGCTTAGTTTCCTTAGTTTACTTCACCCGTTTTGAGTTGATCCTGCTAAACATGAATGAACACTCTACTTATGTGTAGGGATAGACGAGATGACATTCAATTTCATCAAAGTGTGAATGGAGAATGAAAAAAATGTTTTTTTAAATTATCAGCCCACATGCTCTTAGGCACTGGAAAGGTGCATCAGCAATCGACAGCAGTTTCACCCCGAGCCATGTAACCAGGGAATGCTGTCATGCAAGGGTGTCTCATTACCCTTTTTATCATGATGCACCCTCTAATACTCTCACACTGTAAGTCCGCAATTGCACTACGTCACAGAAGTGTGGACTTGGAGGAAGGGCCTAGATTTAGGGATGAAGCCTGACCATTCTGGTACCCTATTGGATGTATGATCTGTTTAATTCTCCTGAGGAAAAAAATAGTATTTAAACTTCATGCTATTTCTTTTAAATGTCACTGCTGTCTGTTTCTCATGTTGAGGAAAAAGAAAATTGTTTCACTGTGAAAAAGAATTCACCCACCACACTTTATGAATCAAAGTGTAGACTAACTCTCCTTCCTCAGACCTGTTTTACTGGTGCTTTTTATGACCCCTATGTTTATTGTTTGGAAGTCAACTGTTTCCTAGTTCTGCAAGGGTTTTTTTAAGGAGACTGATATTATGGTTAACGCTTTTGGGGAGGACATTGAGGCTGTTGGACGTTAGGCTTCTTTCACAACTGCCTCATCACAGTGGCTAGCAGTGTAATTGATCCAAAGATCTCTGTCATCCATCTTAGAAGAAAACCAGGGTACCATGGTAAAACCAGACTACCTGAGTAGCTAAGTGAAAAATTGTCTGTATTAGTTCTTTTTAATTAATAGATGCCTTCCATTGTTTAGCTTTGGGAGTTTACTAGACAGGTCTAACACAAGCCACAGTCATATGTCTTCAGAACCTTTGAAAGAAAATGTTTATGGAGAGTTTATATAGTGAAAAACCATATGGCAAACTCTTGTCTCATATGCCACAGTTTCACTTTCTTATTCCGCTATAGCTGGCCAGGCTTGCTGATAGTTAGCCTATAAATAGATCTGCTTGCATTCCAAATTTTAATATGTTAGTTACAGCTGAAGCAGTAAGTATTAGTTAAAGGTCACGTGATAAAGGAAATGTATCTGAATTAAAGGTGTATCTGAACAGGTAAACTATAGGAAAAATTACCTTGGGAACAGGGCAGTATTCTAGAGTGATTCCACAGCCGAGTAAAACGTAGTTGCTATACAGTAATGTAAAACTAAGCCTGGTACCATTACACATAATCTTATCCACAATAGACAGTTAGTTTCTATGGTTATCAGATTTCATAGTGTACTTAATTCTGACAGGCTCTCATGATGAAGTTGAAATTAATATGGACTTTGGGGAAACATCTAATAACGTTTCTAAACTTAGGGGAACTGTAATCATTTTCATTGTTCTGTAGTAGATAAAACATCTCCCTTCAATATGAATTCCTCTTAGGATTTCCAGTAATTTTAAACAGTGCTCCATTGTTCTGTGAGGAACCCTAGAGCACATCTTTCACTAACCAGTGATTTCTTAATTGATTAAAATAAACTCAATTATAGCACGTAGTCCACCATGTGGAATATAGCAGACATGAACTGTGATCCACAAACTAAAGTAATTGGTTTAAGAGGGAAATCTTTTGGATCTTTGATCCAGTTTTTTTGTATGATTGAGAATGATTGTTTAGCCTGACAGTATATTATTTTTAAGCCTAATGAAAGCATTTAGCTTCAAATCAATTACTGTAGATAACTACGTCTGAAATCTGATTTTATTAGTTTTTCTTAAAATAAGTTGATATTCTGTTATTTTTTGTTCTTGTAGTCAGTTTTCAGAACTACATGATTAATTATTTGAATCAGAGTGATAAGTTACTATAGAAAAATAGAAAGCTATGTCCCAGCAGTACTTACTGTACATACAGTAAGTTGGCATTAAGCATAGCTGTGGTGAATTAGAATGATGGTATTTATGTGCAAGTAAAGGAATTTGTGCAACAAATGTATGGTACAGGTCTTTAGGCATTCAATACCATTGTAGATAATGAAAACAGGATTTGCCTCTCTTAAAGAAATGCAGTGGTTATTGGTTTATTTTGTTACTTGGAAGAGTAATCAATTGCATAATTTTCATCTTTTTAAGATCAGGGAATTGCCCTTTTTCTGTTCCAGTTACACTGGAAGTTGCGAGATTTTTGTAGGGGTGTGCCTTTTTGGAAAATTTCCTTTAATTATTTTTGTTTTCCTTCCTTCGAGTGACCACTTAAGGATATTGAGTGATCAGTCCATTTCTGCATCTGCAGGTCTTTTTAATTCAGTGAAGGAACTGAATTTACTTTTAGTAGAAATACAGTAACTTTGTCATTACATTGTATAGGAGAATAGAATACAAAATGTCCTTTGTTTTGATAGAGCTGCTTGCTCTGTAGGCAATAGAACGATACATTGGCAATGATTTAACAGAACATGATTTCCTGCACCTAGCCTGGTTTACATAACTGCATTATTGGACATAATTTTGAAATAATTCATACTGACATGGATTGTAGTGCTTGGGCTGAAAAACTGGAAGGCTTAACTTCTGTGTGGTACATGAAGATTCTCATAGGAATTTTACCTCTCTGTACAAACCTTCAGTGAGGGTCAGAGAGATTGTCTGTTTGTCTCATGATTAATGCTGTTAAACAAAAGCTCTTTTAGAATCGGTATTCTTTTTAGTGCAGCTATTTCTATATTAAGTAAACATTTGATTGTACGATGTAAAAATTTACTGACTAGGATTGTTTTTGCTATGTAAATTCTGACCTGTTTGAGGAATAACTAAACTTGAGGCAAAGTACGTAGAGAGTTCCAGTAGACATCACAAAAGTGATTCTAGTACCATAAAAATTACTGTTTTACCCTCCTTTGCATACTTGGTGTAGGGTTATGCTAATTTTGTATTTATTAGTTTATTCATGCTATCAATTGTGGATATTGTTTTTTATGGGAGGCTTTCAGGGTGCTAGTGACAAATTTAGGTTGTTTTTTTTACATTGCAGTATGTTTCCTTCACAGTGTTTATAGCATTGCAAAACCATTCTTGATGATACACAGTGATAGATTTTTAAAAAAAAATACTTTCTGTCTTTGATTATGCTAATTTCCTTTTCTGCAGAACTGTGAGGATGTCATTGAAGGGTGCTGTGAACTCCATCAGGGTTGGTGTGGAGGGAATGACATGCAACTCCTGCGTGCAGAGCATTGAACAGAAGATTGGGAGTCTGCAGGGTGTGCACAATATACAGGTAACTGCTACTGTGTTGTTGGCACAAGCAAGGATATGGACTAAAATTGTAAGCGTTGTGGGTTTTTGGATTCAGATCACGATGCACAACATTTTGCCTGAAGTGAGTTATGTCAGTATTTTTTTTAACTGTTGTAAAATTAATTTTGAACAATTAATGACATTTGACAATTAATATGACAATTAATTCATAAACAATGACAGTGCTGGATTTGACATACTTCTACAGGAGCAAGAACTTATCGGATAATTTCCTTTTAAGAAAGCCTCTTTCAAACGTAATCTGAAAATACACTTAAGTTTGTTTTTTAATTATGATTTCTTCCTCTCTTGCATGATCATTTTAGACAAGTTACAGATCACAAGTTGCTAAAGTTTTAACATATTTTTGATTCTGATAGAACCAGTCTGTAGTTGCCATTGTGGTGGATCACTGATGAATCCTTTACCTCTGACCCCTGCCATTGAACCATTTGGGTGATGACTCACAGACATCACCTCCAGGCTACTGGAAAGTCACAAGGGTCTTTGTTTCCTGGGAATGACTAATCCGAATCCTGTCCCTGTCTGTGTTGAGCTAATTGTTTGCCACCACTCACCTCTTGGTGAATCCTAATCAGAGATGCTATTAACACAACCCAGGCTTGAACCTGATAGTTCTGTGATCTGGACCACAAAGCTCAGTCTGATTTTCATCTAGGGGCCTTAACTTGTTGAGCCTACCAGTTGCCCTACTTGATGTTTGGGTTGATTTTTTTTACATATTACTAGTATTTTTATTCAATTTCTTATTTTTTGAAGTTCTTACTTTAGTATTCATTTTAAAACTGCAAATCATAATAGTAAAAATGCTACAAAACATTTTGAATTATATTCTAGGCCATCATGCCCTCCAAATGTATTTATAGGAACAATAAAGAACGAATCAAATAAATATTTACATATTAGATCATCAGTAAACATTTTACAGATCAACAGGATAACATTTTATTATTTAGAATATTATTTTTAGAATTTTTAATGTCTTTGTTCCCTGCAATGCAATTTATCATAAACAACTCAAGACCAGGAAGCGCTAAGGTCATTCCTCCTCTAGTGTATTATGAGGCTCTCCACTTCAGATGAGAAAAAGTTCCTCCATGTAGAATTCTTGTAAACGCTGCATTTTTGAAATCTGCCTGGCATTAACCATTATAGTGCTGTAACTACTGAATGATTTCTATGTATTATGTTCTTTTATACCTCAGAATACAGGAAACCAGTATAGCCCCAGTATAGATTTGTAAACCTACCCTTCAACTCCCAAAGAGTATAATATACTGTAACTATAGATTTGTTTTTTTTATAATTTAAAGAAGTACATAGAGTGTGAATAAATGTGACCCTATTTTGTGAAATTCAATTGTTTCTGACAAATGTAACTTTGCTATATGTAAGGCTGTTATGATTACAGTATAACATTAGAATTTAATAAGTGAGATACATAATCCAATTTGTGATTTGCTCTGCTATTCATTCTTATTTCATTGGAGGTATGAATAGATCTGGAGGGCTCTGTAAATGTTTCTTAGCAGATTGGCTATTACTCTAATTTCAATTATTTGTCTTAACTTTGATATGCCTATTACTACAAATATCAGAAACACAATACTGTACATACTTGATTGATAAATTTACTGTAAAAGACTGTTATCTCCTATCTCATCCTTAATAATCTTAAAATGTGTAGAAAGCCTTAATGTTTAAATAAGCTGAAAACCTGTGTGTATGTTTAAGTCTGATTGTAAGCTTTGCTGTTTTTGTAGAGGGTAATTTTGATGTATAATTGACTTTAATGGTCACAGAGATATTGTCGAGTTTTGATGTTCCTTTTTAGCTTTTGCAAAGAGATTAGATAGAATTCACTTGCAGACCTGCAAGGCACTCTCCGAATTTGTAGTGGATATGCATATTGCTTTTCACTTGCCTGCGGGAGTTTATGAAAGAGGAGATAATGCAATAATCTGTACTAAATGGAAGACTGCCCTTTGCAAACTTGAAACCAAAAGGCTGATTGGTGGCTAATAGTCTAGAGAGATTTATTACATGTGATTTGTTTCCTAGAGAGGCCTTGGAGACCTGTTTTCTCGTGAGCCTGAGGGGGGAAACTCATCCATTTTCATGAGTAAACCTGATTACCCAGACAATAGTAAAACAACAAAAAGCAAAAGGAAGCCATTCAAACACGTGTACACAAAAGAATAAAGGCAATGTTTCAGAACAAGACATTGTTAGTTGTTCTTTCTGGGGTATTGAAGTTCATGGTGAGATGCTGCCTTAAGACCAAGTCTTTTTTAGGGTCTGTTGTAGTGTTTTTTGTCAAAATTTCTACAAAATAAAACAAGCATACATTTTTGCTGTAAGTCTGGGAAATATCTGAAGACTGACATGGTTCTTCTCTGAGAAAGAGCTTGTTTTCCATAAGTACTGTTTTTTTATGGAAAATTTGTTGAAAGCCCTGGTTCCACTATGTCAAGCTGCTGCCTAGTAACATAACTAGTGTATTTTAAAACATGTTTTGTTACTTTTTGATGATAATCTGTACAGAAGCGAACCAGAAACCTACATCAATAACACCAGGAGTGTTTTGCTTCGGGATGTTTATTAAAAAAAGACCTGACATCCCATAAGTATCCTTATACTCTTTCAGAGTTTCCAATCTGTTGCCTTCTTCTGAAAATTACAGTGGGTCAACACTACACCTTCTGGAAGGGTTACGGTCATGTTAAGAGGTGGAATGTACAAGAGAAAAAAAGTTTCCCATATTGAACATCTAAGCTTGTGCTAGATAATTAAAAACATGGCTTTAGTGTGGTGTACACAAAGTGCTGTCTTAGTTGATTAGCAGCTTACTGTCAAGTAGAAACAACAACACTTGATTTGTTATACTTATTTAAAGTATTGAGGATGCTATAATGTAGAAACATTCATTACTACATTCATGTTCTAATGTTGTAGTATTTTTTAATAATTTAATTAACTAGTTCATACATTTTCTGGGGAACACTTTTCAGGATTCAATATTAACATTAGCAAATTTAGTTTTAAATTGGTGGCTGTTATTGTAAAAAAAATAATACTTTTGCTGGCGTGTGTGGACAGACTCCTACATTTATCCTTAAGAAGATTTATTGCACATTGACAACTATATAGAATTTGTAACAAAGATGGTTAAAAATTGAATAAAGTCTAAAGCTTATTTTTCTAGGTTTCTGGTATCATCCTTGATTTCTTGTTCAAAATTCTAGATAATTATCGGCACAACCTACTTATAGCAACGTTACTCCTCCCACTATCATTTTTTTTCTAAAAGCAAAAACTGTTCGATATAAGCTTTTATAAGAGTCATTGTTCTAGACTCTTTTTGCAAAGAGTACTGTGTGTCCTTTGCTATCTGTTGTCTTGATGATACAGTACAGAAAATATCATTTTGATATTAATTCACAAGATGGAGAATGGGGGAAAAATCAAATCACAGGACTCCAATCTGAAACCAGCATAACAAACCCGAGGGTTGTTTTACTAAAGATTTGTAAGTTGAAACATTATCTTCTTAAAGTCTGTAAAATATCACTGCATTGACATCCTAAGGACATCAGTAGAAGAAACAGAAAACCTCAGCCTTTAAAGAGGACAGAATTTTTTTTTTTTAAGTTTCACACTGGCAGTTTATGTAAATTCAAATCACAAAGCAGTTCATGATAAAATAGTGGAAGTATCATGTGCAGCAAATATCAATGCAAATCGTTTCGTCAGCACTCGAGATCTCTTTAATCTTTCTCTCTTAAAATATTGCTCACCATGTTCTACAGTTCCCTTTTTGCTTTTTGCATTTCTCACACTTTTTCTTTCCCCTTTGACACCATTCTTAGCTGTGGGATCAGGTGATAATGTGCTGCTAAGTCACAAGATCCAACAGATAGGCTTTGATGAAAGTTGAAACTTTAGCTTGACTATAGTGCCATCTTCTGACAGCCACCTCACTTGTGCTCTTTTTTATGAGATCATAAAAAGTAGCAGAAATGGAAGAGTGTTTAAAACGGGGGAGAAGATATTCCTAATACAACAGCATTGTGGCTTACGTGATGTCCAGTATTCTAATTTTTGGTGGTAATATAGCAAAGGTATACCCCCCTTTTAAAATGCTAAATCATTCCCTCTTCACTAAATTACAATTAAGAAGAAATGCTTAGTTAACCATAAGTATTGCAGATATCATGGTTGTGATTCTTGTGAACTGCACACACCTCTGTTCTGTCAGAAAAAATATTGTTAGGAAATGTCACTCAAGAGTAGGCAAAAATAATTGTACAACCACATCAAAATATCATTTGGGAAGCTGCTTGAATGAAAGGAGATTGGTGTCAGCTGTAAGCTTTGATTAAGAGACTGATGAGACAAAACATTCAGCAACTGTGATGTGAAAGGAAAAGAAACTTGCCTTGTGTTCTAATTATTTTTAGTATTTTTTCACTGGAAAATGAAAGCAGCCAAAAACGCATTTAAACTTTTAAAGGGATTTCACAGGACAATATGTGAACTCTGAAAACATGATCACTGCAGTCAGTGTGATTATTCTAGTAACAGTTGAGAGGAGAACATTCAGCCCATCAAGCCAGTTTTGTTGTTAGTAACTAATTGATCCAAAAATCTCATCCAGTCATTTCCTGAAAGTATCAGCTTTTGCAACATGGTTGAGTTGTTTGCAACACAGGTCTCCTGTTCTCAATTTCATTACTCAGATTCATTAAGAATTTACAGAATTTAGTTCATGGAGTTTTTAAATGCTAGGATAGTTGAAAACATATTTCAGGGACAAAAACATTTTAACATTAAATATGTATTTAATGTTAAAATAAATAAACAAATTTATTATTTGTTGAAGCTACAGTTTTTTTTAACATTTCATTTTCGGTAATCTAAATAGCTACGTTGTGAAGCCCATGTCATCATTCTGTTCTCTCTACAGGTTGTTAGGAAAAATGTGAAAGCATGAAAAGACGTATAAAAAATAAATCCCTTACATTGTGAAGTTAAAATATTCATATGTATAAAGATACATGAACAAAAGTTCAGAAAAAGGTCATTTTTCAGTTAGCTGTTGTTTTACAGGTGTCTTTGGAGCTCAAGGAGGCCACTGTGATATTTGACCCCGGCCTGCAGAGTCCAGATTCTCTGAGAGAGGCCATAGATGACATGGGGTTTGAGGGCAGCATCTCAGAAAAGGACACGGCCATCTCCACGGAAACCAAGTTTCTCTCCCTTCCAGGGTTGCCACCTGAGGTTCTAAAGCAGGCCCAGAAGAAACTGTCGCAGTTAAAAGGTGTTCTTGAAGCCCGGGAAACTCCAGGGCAGAAGGGATTCTCTGTGACACTAATCCCGGCGCTTGTAAATTCAGGTCAGATTGATGAGGTAATTCAGAAACTGACTTTGGACAGAACACCTGAGCCTCTGGAAGAGCCCATGAAAAGCCAGGCTTGCGATGTTATGGTGAAACTGCGGATTGATGGCATAGTTTGTGTGTCATGCACAACCACCATTGAGGGGAAGATTGGAAAACTCAATGGGATACAGAAAATTAAAGGTGATTTTTTTTCATTCTTAATTTACAATTAAACACTTTAGTGATTATAAATGTTTTAAAATAGACATTATAGTATATGTTATGCTTTTTGTTTGAGGACACTTCAGAAAATTTAAAAACTAAAAAATTGTCGAATTTGGTTTGTTATTGTTGTGCAGTATGTCATTGCGCTTATTGTTGAGAAAATTTTCAATTTGAAGTGTCAGCTCCAAACACTAATTCAACTTCAGCTTCTTTGTCCTGAAATGCGACTCATTTTCCTTTGATATACGAAATGCGGTACTAAAAATAGTTAGGCAAGCAACCAGTTCTTTTTGCATTTAAGTACTAAACAAGAGATTGAATATAAGATTCCTACTAGTTTCCCATAAGGTTTTTATACTGTTTCCTAAAGAGCATGTGATTGTTTTTGATTATGATTGTCATGCAATTTCCTCAAGAAACAATTTTGCTTGCCGTGCTTTACATATTTTCAGCATATCATGTTCAAATTATTTATATCATCATTATTAAATTTGGATATGGGGATTGAAGGTAAGCTGAGGAATCATTACAAAATCAGTCGTTTCTTTAGACAGTTAAAAAATAATGAGAACTACATCCTAGTTTTGTTAAAAGTGTAGCCTGAAGCAAAAACTTTCAGTTCAGTAGTTCATAGAAATATTTTGTGCAAAACTGTTCCATTGACTGCTGTGGTTGCTAAGAAGCAAAAAAACAAGTCATTTTTGTTTTTCTTCTTAGTTTCCTTGGATTCTCAGGAAGCAGCTGTGCTTTATCAACCCCACCTCATCACGGTAGATGAAATCGTGAACCAGATAGGCTTGGCTGGTTTCAAAGCCTTTGTCAGGAGCAAGCCCCGTCCACTTAAGCTGTCGCTCAGTGAAGTGGAGCGTCTTGTCAGCACTCCTTCCTCGGACCATGCACCCTTCGAAACCAAAGCAGAGAGCGCAATGGTCCTGTTCGGTGTCCGCGGGATGCACTGCAATTCTTGTGTCATCAACATCCAGAGCAACATAGCCAAACTTCCAGGAGTGCTGAGCGTGGAGGTGTGTTTGGAAAAGGAGAGTGCTTTAATTCACTATAACCCTGGACTCATCTCTGTGAAGCAGCTCAGAAGTGCCATCGAGTCCCTCCCACCAGGAAACTTTAAGGTGGAAACTGACTGTGATGGCTCCCCTGCATCCACATCCCTGCCCCAGGCCACTACCCCTAACAGCAAGCCCCTCATGCCAGTGTGTGTGATCCACATTGAGGGGATGACCTGTGGCTCTTGCGTGCAGTCCATCGAAGCCATGCTGTCTCAGCGAGAGGGAGTGAAGTCTGCGCAGGTGTCACTGGCCAACCACAGTGGGACATTTGAATATGACCCTCTGCTGACAAACCCAGAGGAGTTAAGGAAAGCCGTAGAGGATATGGGCTTTGATGCTTTTCTCCCTGGTAAAGACTTTTCTTTGACTTTTTGTGCAGTGGGATAGAATGAAAAAATATGACTAGTAACAGTGAGGATTAAAGGATTACTACTTGCAGGATGGAGTGTCTAGGAATGAATAGATCTAACTCTGCTTTGAAGTTGAACTGAAAGCTATATATAGTTCTAGATTATGTTAGTGTTCATGATAAAATTTTAAATTACCATTACCTTAGATGTTTTAAAACTCTAGGAAATGTTAAGTAGGTGTAATCAGTTCAAATGATTGGAATGTATGGTGGACAGACTTCATGTAATACCTATATTATTGCAAAACTATCTCTTTTTCTGCTGTTGAAATTCAGAATCCTTAAGGGTTAAAATCCAGAAGCCTCTGTTTGAAGTTTATGTAATGTGTTTCTGTATTTTTGATTAAAACCATGCTTAACCCTTTGAACTTTAGAGACAAATTCATTAGTGGAGCCCTTTGAACCGATAACCCCCAGCAGAGCATTGCTCAGAGACGGGGATGAGGAGAAGGACTCCAGGGCCACACAAGGCGCCAAAGGAGGGTCACAAACTCCAATGAAGTGCTTCATCCAGATCGGCGGAATGACTTGTGCCTCCTGCGTAGCCAACATTGAGAGGAATCTAAAAAATGAGCACGGTAAGGCCAGGATTCGCAGTTTCCCACTAGTTAGGTACCTGTTTTCATAGTTAGTCGATGTCAATTTAACGTTCTTGGAAAACATCTTGTAACACGAGTTTAGAATACAAAACTCTAATAATGTTATTTGTTACATGTATTACCAGTCTTTGACATGGAATATTTGGTTGGTTTGCAGAAATGATGGATGAAATGCACTTATTACTTTTGTGAAGTATAATACACTAGTGGAAGCAAATAAAACAGTTAAAAATAAATATAGGAATTGTAATTTTGCAGGCTGAGGTAGGTGACAATGGAGACGCTTCTAAGAATCTAGACCAATTGGGTAGCTCCCCAAATACTCCTCTAAATAATTCACCTAAATAATTGAGTTCTGGGTAAATGATTACGAGTGCCAAAAGTGTAGGATAAAAGACAGAACAGAGATAGAAGGGAGGAGAACTTTAACATGTTTAAATACCAGATAGGAAATAAGTATTTGAATCTTGCTAAGAGAGCATGCTATTCTGTGTTTTTTAAGGAAGCTCTGATTTCCTGAGTGAAGAATCTCTCAGTTAAAAACAGCCTCTCCTGATTATCGGTTGCATTTTAGAATAGGGAGACAGATTCCTCTTCATTTTATGGCATCTGGGTCTACAGATAGAGAGATTTAACCACAGGTTGTTTGATTATTAGTTTAGAAGGCAGCTTATTTCTTCTTTAGGGCTTTGTAGGCATTATGAGTTTGAATACCTGGTAGCAATGTGGGTTTTTTCTTTGTGGTCCCTGGGGCACTTTGTTTTTTAAAGTTGTAAATAGTGTAACTTGTGTGTTGTATTTTTTGTTATATTTAGTTTAGTTTGTAAATTACCTGAATTCTTAGTCTTTTCACAAAAGCTGTGCCAGAGAACAAATAATTCACATGCCTCTAACTACACCAACTGCTCAGATATATTCTGGGCAACATATTTATAAGCTGAGGGTTATGATAATTTATTTTACCTATTGATTGATCTGCACAGTCATTTCCTGATTTTCTCCATTTTTGTGACCCCTCATTTGTAACAATATATACTTCGGAAAACTGAAGCTCTGGTTTTAAAATTTACATAATGGCAAATCTCTTGAGTTCTTGTTTTTAAAAAGTGTTATTGGATGTGAAAGAAATTGTGGTCTTTTAGCTAGTCTGAACAATGTTTTTTTTTTACAGCTAGTAGTAACTACTTTCTCTGCTTTGTTTTTTCAAAAGGAATTTATTCTGTTCTGGTGGCGTTAATGGCTGGAAAAGCGGAAGTGCGGTTTAATCCTGAAGTCATCGACCCTCCAGAGATTGCCGAGCTAATCAAAGATATGGGCTTCACAGCATCTGTTATCGAGAACTATGATGAATCAGATGGCAGCGTGGAGCTTGTTGTGAGAGTCTTTTATTCATCTAATTTATAATGTTTGGCCTTTCTTGACTTTATTTGATTTACTTTAATTCGGTCTTTTTAACAGATTAAAGGAATGACCTGTGCCTCCTGTGTCCACAAAATAGAATCCACTTTAATGAAAACCAAAGGAATAGATTATGCCTCAGTTGCACTTGCAACAAACAAAGCACACGTGAAATATGACCCAGAAGTGACTGGACCACGTGACATTATTAAGTTAATAGGGGTGAGTGCTTCTCCTGTCCTTTCTTGGTTTGCTAATGCTGTCATGATCCCCTTGACTAGCACAGTATGATTTGCTTTACATGTTTTAGACATTTCAGGCAGTTGTGGCTTCTTGCAGATCATGCATTGTAGCGCAGAATTTTGTGAACATCCAATTATGTTATTACAGAGTAAAATGTTGCAAAGTAAAATATGAACCTTTTGTAATATTATGTAAGACATTTGGATATAGATGTTCTATTTTCAATTTACAGGATTTGGGATTTGAGGCTTCATTAGTGAGGAAAGATCAATCAGCAAGTCATCTAGACCACAGTCAAGAAATAAGACAGTAAGTTAGATGAATCCACGGTAAAGCTCATCTGTTATTTTTAAGTTGTCTTGCTTTGGTATTTAACTCTATTATTGTTGTTTTATACATGTCTTTAATTTTCTTTAAGATTATTCAAAAGCAGTAAAATTGGGTGTGGTTTATCACTATTGTTGCCTTACTCTATTTAAATAATCAAGAATTTTGATCAAACAGGATAGGTGTTTTTTTGTAGAGTGAGATGTTGAATATAATCAGAAATGCCCCCTATTGATTCATTATTATTGACTATAGACTTTCATGTACTAGATGTTAAACCGATGGATGTTTGATTCCTGAGTCACTATGTTTGGAATGTTACTGTGTGATTTGATATGATTTGATATGGTTTTTATTTGTCTTAGATGGAGGAGGTCCTTCTTCATAAGCCTAATATTCTGTGTTCCTGTGATGGGGATGATGATCTATATGATAATCATGGACCATCAGGTCCTTAGTGACAGTCACCACAATGTCAGTGACATTGAGAAGTACCACTCCACTATGTTTCTGGAGAAGCAGGTCCTGCCTGGTCTCTCAATCATGAATTTAATCTCTTTCCTCTTCTGTGTTCCTGTACAGGTAAGAGAATCAGTCTTAAAGAACTGGAATTAATTGTTAAAACATCCATCACAGACAAAATGCAGGTGGGCAAGCTTTCACCATTAAAGGTCCTAAACCGTGGAATGCAATGCCATCATTTGTACGGGATTGTCCCATTGTTGCCATTATTAAGTAAGACTGAAAACATCTCCTTACAACTTGGCTTTTTAAATTGTTGCATTTTTCATATTTATATACATGTTTTCAGAATGGATTTTTTTTATCCTTTACAATTTTTTATGATATGTTTTTGTACTCTGTATGTTCTGCTGTGTGGCAACCAATATGCTTTACATCTGTGCTCATTAAAAAGCATCATAATATGAAAAACACTCCTTAAAACATTTAATGATTATTGTATGCCAAAACATTTCTGCCAAACCTGAAATTGGTAGGTACACATTTGAATGTTAAAGGGGAACTGCAATGGTATTTTTATATTATGGGGTTAGAAAGAATCAAGATTGATGAGTGCATTCCAAACTACAATAAAAGGTAAATTTGAGGTTTTACAACTTGCTGTGTACATTTAAATCACAGAATAGACTAACCAGGTATTCGCAGCATCATCGTTTCAGAGCGAGGCAACAACATTTCTGGTGGGAAATGTAATAGGTGGCCTTATTACATTGTAAAGAAGCAGGCGTGTGAATACATCTATTTTAATCCAATTGAAATATTGCTTTTCAACTTTGAGATGCTTTTGACAACAAATACTACTTACTTGTTAACTCTGCATGAAGATCACTTTGGAACGTTTCTATGGTGAGATGTCTGCTCCACAACCTGTACTTATTTGGTCGTACATCACATTACATTAGTCATTACAGTGATTAGTGAGCAAGAAGGGTTGCATCACGTCACAAAACTCAAATGCAACAACATGGCAGCTTACAGAGTTCATTTTTTTGTAATTTGTATTTATAAATTGAATTCGAAATTTGTAATTTTTTTCTTTAACATCAATTAATTTATTTTGTTACTGAGATTTCATAACCAGTCCAAGAAATTAGGACTGCAGTTCCCCTTTAAATCAGTGCCTTTAGTACACCTTTAAAAGAGTGCAGTTTTCCTTTCAAAGTATGGGGAAAGGCAGAAAGACATTTGATAAGCCCCTTCTGTAACCACTTAAACACCTACAATGTTTGCTTACAGGGCTGAAGAACAAACATGCTTTCTTAGCAAAGAAGTGTAAAAATGTATAAGTTTCCTATGGTGTATTGTAAATATTTTCTTCATTTAGGTCTTTCCTTTCGTGTGTAGTTCCATTTTATGCAAATATATCTGCTTTGTTTTATATTTTTAATTGAACATTTTACAGTAGCCAGTCTAGTATACGATAAGATTTTTTTTTAAAAAAACAAGATTTTAAAATGTTTGAAGCAAACTTTACATGGCTTATCACCTATGCTAAAAAGATGCTTATGTTATTTTTAAAGTTATTATATCAACAAGGACTTGTAACATTACTTCAGAAAATACATTTTTAAAGCAGTTTGTTTGCATATGCAGTTTGTTTTCTTAGTCGAAAATTATTATATGAAATGTTCTTCTATTTTTCTACAGTTTGTGGGAGGCAGATATTTCTACATTCAAGCATATAAAGCAGTAAAGCACAAGACAGCCAACATGGACGTGCTGATCGTCCTCGCTACCTCCATTGCCTTTGCATACTCCCTGGTGATACTCCTTGTTGCCATGATTGAAAAGGCCAAAGTGAACCCCATAACCTTTTTTGACACTCCTCCAATGCTTTTTGTATTCATTTCACTGGGGAGGTGGATGGAGCAAATAGCAAAGGTATTACTGTTTGTTTTTATTGAGAAGTATGAGTTGGGCCAACAGAGGTCCACTTGTCTGCTACATTGTCTACCAACAGAAAACTAGCAGTTCAGAATTATAGGTGTTAAACTCTTCTACAGGTTGCATTAAAAGAAACACCTGTTATTCCAGTTGACAGACTATAATACTTCTTTGTGATGGTGTACAGAGAGAAGTTTTTCAAATACTCTCACTTGGAGCTAATCAACTGTGATGAATAACACAGAATTTGAACTAAATTAAATATCAACTGTGGCCTATGCTTTAATTGCAAACAAAGGAACCATTACAAGACACATAGCTCATTAAGTTAGGAGTTAATTTATATTTTTAATTTTAGAACTTGGGTTACTAACAAGAATAGGCCATTTAGTTTGCTAATAGTTTAAGAATATATTACCTCTCTTAAAATGGTTGATTTACATTTTGACTTAACACAAACCTCTTACCAGATGAGCTTTGTGGAATTAGAGAACTAAGAAATAAGAACTGAAAACATGGGAGTGTGGCTGCAGCAGAATAGATATAACCTCTTTTCTCTGCTTTCATTTTTTCAGAGTAAAACTTCAGAGGCCTTATCAAAGTTGATGTCCCTGCAGGCTACAGAAGCTACTGTTGTCACGTTGAATGAAGACATGTCTGTGTTGAGGTATCATTCTTTATATTGTCATTGGAAGATTAATATTTTGAATTTCACAGTTCAGTCTGTGTGCAATAAACAAAGAAAATATTGCAATGTAACAAAATCTGATAAGTACTTGGCATTGTAACTGGGTATTAAACACATACATACTAAAAACTTTGCTCCCTTTATGCGGTGGAGTACACGCTTAAATAGACATCAACTGTTAGGATTAGTTAATAATTAATGAATAGTTTAACAATTTTAGCAGTAATCTTGAGTCCATCTTGTGGGAGTAATCATGTGCAAATCTTGAGCATCACTTATTTAGAGTTCTGATCATCAAGGCCAAGTTCAAATGTATTTTGTTAGTCATAGTATAATATGCAAATTAGAATATAGTTGAAAGTACTACTGTATAGCATTATGGTGTTCACATCAAAAGGCAAAAGAAGCTATTAAGTCAATAATGGAACAATTATTGTGGCACCGAATTATAAGAAAAAAATCACTAGTGACTTGAATTCTCTTTTGTAAAACCAACCCTTGAAGTTGGAATGCATTACTTGTGCTAACAATTATTTTTTATATCACAATGTTGCACACAGTGTCAATATTTTCTGATACATGTAGGCGACAAGTTTCTAATCAGTGATTCTCTTAAACAGTTCCAAATTACTGAGCCCCTTTAATAATTTTTTATGCCAGGACCTTGTTCTTAACTAGAATTCGCTCATTGGATATGACCCTTGTTTGTTGTCTGGTTTGTGTCCTGTCGTCAGTGAGGAACAGATTGATGTTGAGCTGGTGCATCGTGGGGACATTGTCAAAGTGGTTCCTGGGGGCAAATTCCCAGTGGATGGACGGGTTATTGAAGGCCATTCCATGGCAGACGAGTCTCTTATTACAGGTATGGATTATAGGATTATAGGATGACCTTTTGGTTATGGTTTGCTGCAGTGTTTGAATGCATGCAAATTTTAACAATGCATGTTTAAATTGTACTGATTTTAAATGTTAAAATTATAGTGATGTGAAGAGCTAATAGCTGTTTTCAATTTCTAATACATGCTTAATTCATGTTTCTAATACATGTCTTATGGCATGCTACAACCAGATGCACTCATCAGCCATTATATTGCCTCAAAGTTATTAATTGTATGAATAATCTAGGATATTTTATAAAAGGCTAAATGTCTAAAAACGTTGCTTTTAAAGACATTAAGAAAAATAATACTGTATAGTGATCCTTTAGATTTTCATAAAAAGATATACATGTTTTATTGTGGCTAAATTGCAAGATTTGCATTTCTTCATTTTATTATAATTGTGGAAATATAATACAAGTTTTGTTTTCAGCTTTTGTATTGCTGTGATCAGTGTTAAGTGTTCTGTAGCTGTTGTTAATAATCTTGTTTTTTTCTTATTAGTGACTGTCCAGCATTAGATTCACTTATTTTTGAAGTTTTTGTATTGTTTTATGTTTGTTTTCCTTTGTGTTGATGATCTGCTGCCTTTTTTCATTACCAGGGGAAGCCATGCCTGTGACAAAGAAACCAGGCAGCTCTGTAATTGCTGGCTCCATCAACCAGAATGGCTCCCTGCTCATCCAGGCCACACACGTGGGAGCAGACACTACCCTGTCCCAGATTGTCAAGCTTGTGGAGGAAGCACAGACCTCCAAGGTTCTCTTTGTTTTTTGTTGAGTGTTTTTTTTAACTCAAGCAACAACTCCTATGTCCAACTTCCTGTCTAAAGTTAGAGCAGGAATTGACAAGAAAACAAATCATTATTGGAAACACTATGAGTGCCCAAGTAGAAATAATTTGCTTAGCAGATGCCCTTATCAAGGGAAATTTACAATTCACATGACATTAAGTAATGTGACGTACTTTCTTGGTGGGTATCCTTTTATATGCGTTTCTGTGTAAAAATACTCAAAGTCAGATGAAGACACGGTACTCTTTTTTTACAGTGGGTAGAAAAAGAAATCAAAACCAAATACAAGTTCTCTCTAAGCTTCTTCCTCACTCCCACTCTATAAGCACAGGCGAGCAGCTAAGCCGATTAGCAGTGTTTCTCTCAGACCAAGATCTCTTCAAAATGTACTCAAAAAAAACATCAAGCTTCATGGGATCATCAATTAATAACTTGCTCACTCCCTTGTTCTGCTGGTGCACTGCTAAACGGAGACTTTTTGTACTGATAACTGGTCTTCGCAAGCTATAAAATAGAATAATACACAAAGGTAGTAATATAATGACAACATTTTTACTGAAAAATTAAACAAACTCTAATTCTACTATCAGAAAAGATTTTTTTTAAAATATGAAGTAAAAACACAGTGAGAGGCAATAAAATGCAGTTGATCTATAAGGAAATTGTCTCAAGTCACTTTTTTCACCAGTTTGAACCAAAATAAAGGATTAGGGAATGTTTAGATGTGTAGTAAAAAGGTTTTCCTCATGCTTGTTTTTGAATTGGTGACAACTGTGCAACTAACGCAACAGTGCAAAAATGGTGTAGAATGTAATTCAAGCCAAAGATGTCAAGATATATGTGCATTGTGCATCCCTGTCGATCGGTGAATTTGTCATGAGTTCTATCATCCTTCTGCAAGATGCCGTGACTGACAAATGTTTAAGTTGGTATTTGATTTGGTAAATGCTGGAATGATTCAAAAGTTTTAACATATCATTTTAATGTCCATCAAGCAACAATATATTCACTCTAAACTGTTGATGACTAGTAGTATTATTAATATAAGAGCATTTGTACAAAACTATAAACACTATCATTTTGGTAGAGGAGGAGTGATGGTGCGAATGTTGTTAATGTTGAGATGCAATCAGAATTATTGGGTAGTCTCATTACTCAGTTCAATATGGACAGCATCATGCAACCAATCTTCCATTCAGCACTGTAAACAGCTTATTTTTTCAGTACTACCTTCAAGCACATTACAGGTATTTTATCTGCACAAGAAACTTTTTTTAAAGTAAGGGGTCGAATAAATAATACTGATGTAGTGTGACGATTTGATCTTTCTCTTGCACAGGCACCTATTCAGCAGTATGCAGACAAAATCAGTGGATATTTTGTTCCCTTCATCGTTGCGGTGTCGGTCCTAACCTTGTTTGCCTGGATTGTGATTGGATTTGTAAAGTTTGAGCTGGTAGAAAAATATTTTCCAGTAAGTGAAATTTATTTTTTTTCTGAATTCTATATTCCTATATATATGCTATGTGTATGCTATATATATATATGCTATACTCCTCTATATATTTTTATTTAGAGCCATTGTTGTTCATTTAAAATTATTAACCAAACGTCACTATTTCCTGTGTTTTTGTTATATAACAAAAGTAGTTTCTAACCCAGTTAAAATGTAGCATTACAAAAACAGAAAATTATATACAATTGCTATGTACTAAAAAAAGATATAGTGTAACTTGCCTTAGCTCATAAAAACCATAAACATCTTGTGACATAATGAAAAGTATTTGCTTAAAGGCAGGCAATATAATAATTGTTAGACCGTTTTCTCAGTAAATCATACGACTCTGGTAAATCAAGCTGGAGATTTCTTTTGTGCAATAAACAAAGGAGGACAGACTAAGTTAACAGGTTAACCTCGTCTCTCACTCACTTTCCTAAGGACAGCAACAGGCTTTTATTCTTGAAGATGAGCAACATTTTCATACAAAAACATAGATTTATGATTGGTCAGTAGCAGTTTCTTACCATGTAAGAAAGGTCAGAAAGTTACAGTTACAGTGGGTATAGAAAGTCACCACCCCCTTTCAAAATATGTCCGTTTTGTTGTATGACTCTCTGAAATTAAATACGGATTAGTTTTTTTCCATTTTTATCTATACACAGTAACCCACAAGTGAAAATAAAATTCTGAAACATCCTGAAAATGTATGAATATTACAACAGTAAAATACGTTATTTGGATAAGTGAACACCCCCCTTACAATTACATTTGTAGACTTGCTCAGGTATAACCAATCACATTACAGATCACACAACAAACTAATTAGCTCCCACCTGTGATCAATTGTGGTGGTTGTGATTAGTTCACAATAAAAGCAGCTGTTTCTAGAGGATTCCACTGCTTGGAAATGCATTTCAAAACAATGAATCCAGTGTGGGCGGAAAGGTGCTTTCAAAAGAACTTCAAAATAAGTTGTGGAAAGGCACAAGATTTCAAAGGCTTTAAGTATACCATGGAGCACAGTCAAGACCATCATTACGAAGTGGAAGACGTATAGCACCACCCAGATCTTGCCTAGATCAGGCTGTCCCTCCAAACTGTATGACCAAGCAAGAAGGAGACTGATCAGAAAGGCTACTAAGAGGCCTATGGCAACTTTGAATGCGTTACAGGCCTTGATGGAAAAGACTGGTCATTGTGTGCATGTGACAATATCACAAGTGCATCACAAATCTGGCCTTTATGGGAGGATGGCAAGAAAAAAGCAACTCCTTAAAAAAAGCCACATCAAGTCTCGTTTATGTTTTGCTAAAAAGCACCTTAAAGATTCTGTGGCCAAGTGACAAAAGCTGTTGTGGTCAGTTAATACCAAGATCGAACTTTTTGGCCTGAATGCAAAACGGTACGGCTGGCAAAAACCCAATATATCCTACCAACCAAAGAACACCATTCCTACAGTAAAGCATGGTGGTGGCAGCATCCTGTTGTGGGGTTTCTCTTCAGCTGGAACTGGGACACTTGTCAGGATAGAAGAGAAGATGGATGGTGCAAAATACAGGCAAATTCTTGAAGAAAACCTGCAGCCCTCAGCCAGTAAGTTGAAAATGGGAAGATGGCTCACCTTATAACATGACAATGACCCAAAGCAACTGTACAATGGCTGAAGGACAGGAAGGTGAATGTCCTTGAGTGGCCTAGTCAGAGCCCCAACCTAAATCCAACCAAAAATCTTTGGAATGAGATGAAGAGGGCAGTCCATCAACAGTCACCACACAGTTTGCCTGAACTTGAGACAGCTCTGTAAGGAAGAAATATATGGGCAAATATTCCTCCCTCTAGGTATCCAAACAGATTCAAGGCTGTAATTCAAGCAAAAGGTGTTTCCACCAAGTATTAACTCAGGGGAGTGTTCTCTTATCCAAACCAGTTATTCTATTTTTCATTTTTATTTTGCTTTCTTTTTTCACTTGGATGTTGCAAGGTACAATTTGTAAATAAAGCTGGAAAAAATCTGATTTTATTTGTCTTCTTTTTGGGCTTTAGTGCAAAAAAAGGCGAACATTTTGAAAGGGGGAGGTGACTTTTTATACTGTAGGTCATCCTTGGACAAATAACAAAGACTCTAATTAGCTAAGACTCTATTCCCTTTCATGTCACCAATCATAGCAGTAGCATATAGCAGTAGTTCTCAAACTTTATGGACCAAGTACCACCCCTGATCAAACCAAAGCATCCAAGTACCACCTACAAGTCATCTTCTCATAGGAACCCCAGAAGATCTCAATGACTAACATGAGCGTGCGTGTGCGCACACACTCACATACACATATAATAAATATTATTGTAAAACTTTATTTGATATAGCGCCTTTAAAGGTGGCTTCTCAAAGCACGTTACAGAATGACAAAAGGAACAACAACAACAATTAAAAATAATAAAAAAGCACCATTTCATTGAGAGGGGTGAGCCTGTTTAGTCGAGCAAAGCAGATGTGAATTCATTGGTCGAGCCTTGATACAATTCACAACAGAGTCTAACCGATTTTAAATCGTCAGGCATTTTTTTGATGACCAAGGCCTTGCGGTGGATGCTGCAGTTCATATCTGGAGCAATCTCTCTAATTCGTGCAACTACACCGCTGTTTCAGCTTGTCATCTCTCTAGCACCATCTGTACAAACTCCGATGCATTTTATCCAGTCGATGCCATTCTATTCGATAAATTCTTTCAGAAGCTGAAATATGTGCTCTCCTGTAGTTCCTGTTGGTAGCGGCATACAGAACAGAAAGTCCTCATGGGACATGCCCTCAAACTCGTATCGAACGTAAACGCACAAATTGGCCAAATCAACGATATTTATAGACTCATCTAATTGCAGTGAAAAGCATTTGCTCATCTTAACGCACTCTATCAGCGTACTTTTACATCATCCGCCACATCAATAATTCTATGAGTGACTGTGCCTTTCGGAGGGGGCAGCAGGTTGAGCTGTTCAGCAGCTTTTTCTCCACACATAATATGTGTCAGCTCTTTGGCAACAGTAAAGTTCTTCATAAGTAGTGTGGGGCTTACCTACTTTAGCAATCCGCAAGCTTGCATTTGTCCCCATTTTCATTTCAGGAGTTTGTCTCAGAAGTTAAAAGAAGTTTTTATTTCATGCGCATGGGAGCGAAACACAGTGAGGCTTGGTGTATTTTTCTCAAATTAACCTAGAACAGTTCTTAAATATTTTTCTGTTATCTATCATGCTTTCCTGTACTCACAAGATTGCCAGCGTTCATAGTACGCATTTCTATGCTTTCCTGTGCTTACAACATTGGCATCGGTCCAAAATCACACACATTCTCCTACCTCCCTATTTGCTGGAGATAACTTTTTTTTTAAATACAATTGGTCACTAACGTTCATAGCACACATTCCTATACAATGGTATAGAATTACATTGTAGCTCTTGTGTCCACTCAAGTAGTAGCGCGCGCTGTATCATCGTACGTAGGCTGCGTATTTGAAACAAACTAATTTTATTAAAATAGAAAATATGAACACAACAAAGTTTCGGGGTCATATGGCGTACCGTCTGGCGGCCCTCCGCGTACCACAACTGGTAACACGTACCACAGTTTGAGAACCACTGACATATAGGATATCTGCGTTACACTTCCACTCAAGAGACCTTGAAGAAACCTGGTCAGCTAGGAGTGTACAAAACTGTAAAACCGTTCTTGAGGACCTCATTCTTAACATCTAATAGGCATGGGTTCTGTCATATTGAATATTTTTAATATTTCTAAAAGATATTTAACTTTGTACAAATATCACCCTGCAACTCACAACTGGCAACCCACTGAAGCTCAGCAGGTGTGAGCCTGGTCAGTACCTGGATGGGAGACCTCCTGGGAAAAACTAAGGTTGCTGCTGGAAGAGGTGTTAGCGGGGCCAGCAGGGGGTGCTCACCCTGCGGTCTATGTGGGTCCTAATGCCCCAGTATAGTGACAGGGACACTATACTGTAAAACAGGCGCCGTCCTTTGGATGAGACGTAAAACCGAGGTCCTGACTCTCTGTGGTCATTAAAAATCCCAGGGCGTTTCTCGAAAAGAGTAGGGGTGTAACCCCGGCGTCCTGGCCAAATTTCCCATTGGCCCTTCCCAATCATAGCCTCCTAATAATACCCCTCTATGAATTGGCTACATTACTCTGCTCTCCTCCCCACTGATAGCTGATGTGTGGTGAGCGTTCTGGCGCACTATGGCTGCCGTCGCATCATCCAGGTGGATGCTGCACATCGGTGGTGGTGGAGGGGATCCCCATTACCTGTGAAGCGCTTTGAGTGGAGTGTCCAGAAAAGAGCTATATAAATGTAAGCTATTATTATTATTATTATTTATACTTTAAAGCAGCAAGGCCAGTTGTTGGAATCACAAGCAAAACTTTCAAAAGAAATTAAAGACCAAGGAAAATTATTTCACAGGCTTGTCTTCTGAAGATATCCAGCAAGCAAAAAGGCAAATCATCTGGAAATGGTTATTCAGACATTTTTGGTAATTGTCATCTTTTTTTCTAATATGATAGATATTCATATTTCAGCTAAAATCTCACTCTAAGATTATCCATTTAAGAAGTCTGCACTTACATCTGTATTCTTACAACTCAACTGTTTTAGCTACAAGCCATTCTCATTGTTGAATGTTGAATTAAATACAGTGCCCTCCAGAATTATTGGCGCCCTTGGTAAAGATGAGCAAAAAAGGCTATGAAAAATGTCTTTGTTGTTTATCAGCTTGATCTTACACTGAAAGTATGAGAGAAATCTAACCTTTCAGTGAGGTAAAATTATTCAAAGAAAAAATAAATCCTTATAAAAAACATTTTTCTCAAAAACACGTGTGACACGTTAAAATTATTGGCATCCCTAGAAATTCCTATTAAAATCTAGTTGACATTCTCATTCATATTTTACCTTTTTTAAGCACAC